CTTTTGGCTCAAAGGAATTGCAAGGCAAAAACATGTGAATGAGATTTAAGAGCAATTCTGGCCAGGATATCAGATATATAAGTTCTTATATATCTAATATAAGAATATAACATATATATAGATATGTAAATTCTTAATCTGACCCCAAACTACTGATTTTATGTTCCTGTGACTTTTACCTCAATAGCAGAAGCTGTGTATAGCTTGAAGAGCACATACTTGTATGTTCAGTGCTACTGGAGAACATATACTGTATTGCAACTGAATTTATAGTATATATAAATATATATATACACACATATACGTATATATATAGTATTTATGTATATATATTTTTATATATATATCTATATTCTTTATATATTCTTATATTTATGAGAAGAAAGAAATAGACTATTGAAATACAAGTTGTGCAATCCTTGTTTAATTATTACAAGATAAGTATAAGTACACTGAAATATATCAGTCTCTAAATAAAATAATTGTTAAGCATGAGTCTATACACAGACCATTACTATAATATGAAAGCAGTTTCCAAAACACAAATTCTTTTAATAAAGATATATATTTCTGCTAGCCCATGAATTATATTCTGGGTTCTGCTCGTTTACACTTGTACATTTGAAATTCAAATGGAAATGTAGTAGGATAACACTTCTGAAGCTGCTTTAACTAGAAGCCTGAGAAATCCTTGCTGATGCCCAGCAGGAGGTTTTCATTCAGCCCCTGGAGCAGAACCTCATTTTCTCCCTGAACACTGCCAGGGCTTTTTCTTGAATATGGAGGTGCAGGGCATGCTTCTAAGTAATGAATGAGAACTGCTGGGCAAGGCATAAAAGCTTCCACATTGAAAAAACATCCAGTTCATGTTACTGTCCCTAGGTGTGCATGTCTTTATGTGCCTAGCACACAATAAATAATCCCTCATGGCTGAAAAATACCCAGATACTTAATATGAAAAATGAGAACATCAAAGTTATGTTGTTTTTTTTTTTTTAGGCATCAGACTGTCATGAAACAAAGACTATGGTGCCATTTAACATACATTTCATGTCACTGCCTAATCTTTCTTTGCTGCGCTGCCTGTGCTTTAATCCCCATTCTGTTGTGTTTGCCCCAGTGCTCAAACCCTGGCAGTGCATGTACACAGTGATGCTGCCATTGCCCTGTGTCCCTCTGTCCCTATGTCCCTGGCACCTGCAGAGACACAGGGACAGTCCTGCAGTCCTGCTCCAGGCTGGAGCAGCATCCCTGCTGTGCAAAGGGCTCCAGACCCCAGCACCATCCCCTACTCCCTGTGTGTCTCCCCATGATGCTCCGTGGTGGCAGGGCGGCCTGTGTGGCCTCTCCCTGCCTGGGGGCTCCAGCCCCACTGCACTGGGTGTGTGCCCATCACCACAGTGGCTGCCTGCCCTTCCCCTGGTGACATATCAGTCCCTTGCCCCTGCCAGTGTCCCTGTGCTGGCCTAGCCTGGTCCCCACACTGTGGAAAGGTGGCAGCCCCTGCAGTTCCCTGGAGAGCTGGCTCTGAGGGAGGCCCACGTCTGTTTCCCTGCATTTCATAAATGTCCTGGGGACTGCCCACTGACAATTGAATTATTTGTCTTCAGGAAACTGGAGTTGTAGAGAACCTGACTTTCAGGAGAGCAGCGTTTCAGCTGCTATTTGCTGCTTTAGGGGGTCCTTGTCTTAAAAGGTGGATCCTGGGCCTGTGGCTCTTCAGGGTCTTCCAGCATATGAAATTGATCTGAGGACACTCAGGTCTTTTTCTAGAGTTGCTTTTTCTCTGGTTCACCGAGTAATTTTGTTGAGATTTGGTTTTTTTTTGGTGTTGGCAAAAGATATGGAACAAAGGAGCCCCAAACGAAAATCTGTCTGGCATGCCTGTCAGAGATGCCTTGATTTCTGCCAATCCTCCAGCTGCTGGTTCCATCTGTTGTCTCCTGATTTTTTTCACTTGTAACCACCTTAGGGCACAAGCCACTTCTGTGTGTGTGAGTCTAAAGGGACTGGTATGACACAATGGAAGTCCTCAATGCTTCAATGCAATGCTACATATAACATTAAAATGCTCAGCAAGAGATTTCCAGTATATTTCCAACTGCATCTGAAATAAACTTCTCATTAATGAATAATCAAGAATATCAGCGTTCCTTACACCCTAGTTAAATATATGTGGCAACTCTGATTTCTGTGCTGAAGCATTTTTATTGTCATTTTAGTAGTTTTCTTTTCCCCAGACATCCCTACAGGGCACTTTCAGAGCACTTGACTGGCAGTGCCTGCCTGTGCATGCCCACTGGCACATGCTGATCTTCTGAGTAAGAGCTGAGCTGGAGGACACTGGCTTTGAATCACCAAGGGTTACTCGTTCATCAACATTTTACTGCTGTCTTCTCCTGACCCTTCAGCTGCTCCCAGTATGATTTGCCTCAGTCTCTCTTCCTCTTCCCAAATGGGAAGTCTCTCTTCCTCTTCCTCTCAAACGGGAGTCTGCTCTCCCATTTTCACTCCTCCCCCCTTTACTTTCCCACAAGCCACATTTTTTCATACTCTGTCATGCAGGGCTGGGAGTGCACCCAGCCTCTGCCAGGCACGTCCAGGGGCTGGTCACAGCCTCCTGCTGCCACTGCAATGCTGTGCTGGGCTGCCTTGCACACAGCACACACAGCTAGGCTCCAAGGCTAGCTTCATCCTCAAGCCCTTGACAAAGCCATGAAAAGGGGTAGCCATTGCAAATAGCGGTGAACTTGAAGTGTTATACTTACACAAGAGATGCCATGCTTGCTAGGTGTGCTTAAGTTGCTGCTGATTTGCGCACAAGAAGGGGAGTAACCTTTGTTTTTGTTGTCTGTATTTATGCTAGGCAAACTTCTTCCACAACTGATGGTGGTCCACAATTCTCAAAGTAAAAAGATCACCCTTTTAGTTGGCATGCTTGTATTTTGTGTAGAAAAAGCCTAATAAATCACAGAAAGAGAGAAGATGGGAAAATACAGCTGCTGTGTCATTGTACTGCAGATTGAATCACATGATTTCAAAATTTTCAGCAGCAGCAAGAAGAGCAAAGTCAGTAAAACACATTGCAGAAGTACATGCAGTTTTGAGGCAGCCACATAGTGGACATGAGGGCTTCCTCAGGCCTAACAAATAATGTCTGGTTAGAGAGGTCTGTTTCAGAGACGGAGGGAGATATGAGGCAGCACATTTTTCTGTCTGTGTAGGCTTGTTTGCTCATTTTATTTTAAAAGAGTTTCAAAATGAACAACACATATCCCCACCTAGGTGAATAATTTTGTTTCAGTCCACAGTGTGGCACCTCAATTTCAGCTGCAAAGACTCAGGCTCATGGTGCCAGGCCCTGTGCTAGAGCAGCAGAGATGGGGACATGTGCTCCTCTGCCATCCCTGCTGTGGAGAGGGGGAGGTCAGGAAATCAAATGTTGGGATTAGTAACACAATACACCACAGTAGGCAAATTCATCAGGGCTCATCTGTTGGAGCCTGAACATTTCTGAGAGCATATTTAAAGCCTTTTGCTTTGGTGTGGGATTTGGGGTTTTTTAAAATTGGTTTTGTTTCTTGGCTTTTTTATTTCTTTTCTCAGTGGACTAAGTTCCTCTATGGATTTCACTCCAGGGAGCTGTGGAAGAGCTGGCCTGTTCCCATGGAGCAACCTGCACTAAGACATAACAAAGACTAACAGAACTCTGAGGTAGATGACCTGCAGCCACATTAATTATTGATCAAGTTAGCAGTTGATGAGTTGTGCTAAATTGATCTGTGGCAAGGTAATGTGAATTAAAAGCTGCTTAAATATTTAGTTTTGGGTTCTTTCTATATGGCAGGAATTTGAATTAAAGGCTACACAGGAGTCATGACTGGAATCAACTTTTCAGTAAAGACAAGCTGTCAGAATAAAAGGTGCTATCTAAATGTAAATCAGGATTTCTCAGAGGAGGAATCTCTTGCAGGTAAATATTTTAATGGAGGACTGGAAATCTTTCCTCACAAAATTCTCTAAAGGTAGGATGATAGATTAAGATTTTCTTGTCATTAGTTTAATTCCTCCATATTTTATTTTAATTAAATGCTGCTGCATCTGAGGTAGGGCACAAAGCATTGCCAGGAAAAAGAGAGACTAAAAGCCTGTAGGAAGTGAAGGAGGACTATTGGCTGAAACTCCATATGTTTGTTGCAGCACTGCAATGCTGTGCAGCTGGAGCACAGCTTGAGTGAAATGAATCTGTAGATGACTGGTGAGAGGAAGTAAGGGGGCTAATTCTGACATTGGATACATATATGTGTGTGTGTATATATATATATCAGGCAAAAGAATTTGCTGATGACTCTGCACAGGGGCTTGTAATGGAAGGGAGCCAGTGCCCTGAGCTAAAGTGCCTTTGCCAGTGAGATAAGTCCCACTGAAGAAAAATCACTCCCTCTGAAGTGGCTCAGATCCCCTCAGCATGCTCAGATCCTGCTGCATTGCCCCACAAACTATTTTGAATGACTTTATGATGTCATTAATAGAGTTTTGAAGGCTGACATGCATTCTTGGTTGGTTTAGGTGCTGCATCTCCAAATAAATTCTTCCCTGGCTTCTACCAGCCTCTCTCCAAAGTAACATCCTTAATGCAAACCAGTCTTGGTCCTGAAGTGGAAATGTGTTTTATCTCACCAGTTTAGTGCAAACAGGCTTGAGTTATCTTTAGTGAGAAGAGAAGGCTCCTGCTTTTCCTACTGTGGTTTCTTCCTTACAGTTTGTCTCACTTCATTCCTTCATGTACCAGAGAGCACTTTGGTATTCAAGGGTATTTGTCTTGTTTTTTCTCACCCTTCACAAAAGCTGTCCTCTGCTTAACATGCACATTTTTTCCTTCAGAGCCATTTTCCTCTGTAGGCTCTCTGAGCTGGCCAGCTGCCAAACAGTAGGGTGAGCTGCATGAAAAAGCCTTGATCATTGACAGGCTGTCTTACAATTTCTTTCTTGTATTCAAGATGCAGATGGATGTTATTAGAAAGGTTTTTACTTCGAATGTGCGCGGCTTGTCCACATGGCTGAGATTAGTGCTCAATACTCATATAATGCTTTTCATCCTCAAAAGGACTTTACAAGCTCCAGCCCTCAAAACACCCCCACAAGGTAGGTGCCCGAGTTTTGTTATGTGTGTTATAACAAGGAGGGACACATGTTAGTAACTTGTTCAAAGATGTATGCCACAGTGAGCATTGTAAAAGAAGGAATTATTTACACTTTCCTAATGTTCTTCTGTGATGTGTTCCTAGGAAAATAATAAGTTAAAAGACTTCACCATGGCAACATGTTTTCACCCATGAAAGAAGCGATTAGTGACATCAAAAATTAAATTGTATCTCAGGTTATAGTACTACTAGATAAAAATGCAGCATTTCTAAAATTTATGAGGCCAAATATGCTACTGCACTAAGCTTCAATTAATACAGCAGAACTGGAGCCTACAGGGATCGTCAAAGAGACTCAAATTTGATAGAAGATTTGGAGCACTTGCCTCAAACCATACTTCAAAACAGAGGGAAATGATTATAGGAAGAATGATGAAAAATGCCTTCTCAGTTGAAAGGACAGTGCAGGATTATTTTTTTCCTCTGCTTTGACTGCATGATTATAATTAAAACAGCTCCAGTAACCTGAACAGTCCCAGTATGAACTCCTTTCCACAGAAAGTTCTTGTAATATTGTACCTCATCTTAGTGAGGAGGCTGAAATAAGCTGTAGCAGTAAAAGATATCTTTATAATTATGTATTTGCACTGAGCTTCTACTGGCATGAGTGTGCTGACATGCTTTACCTTGCACAGACAAGCCAGTGGAAGTTCCCAGTGTTGACCAGCGCATGTAAACTGGCCAGGGCCACTCTGGGATGTGGTTTCTAAACTAGGTGGTCAAGACCTTGAAGGCTCTGATAATCATCATTTAAGGTCTTTGTAGCCTCAGTGGGCCTGAGGGCCTGCAGAGGTACCTGGAATATTGTCTTGGGAAACAGCAGCCAGCCTGGTGCCATGAGGAGCAGTCCATAGGGCTGTGAGATGGTGAGGCTCCTCTGCATAAACCAGCAGGGGCTGTCTGGGGGAGCCCACAGGCACAGGGGTTTGCCCCACAGACATACACCCACCTTATGCTTTCTGGATAAACAGGCTGCAAATAGCCTGGCTAGCCCAAGCCCTGCAGAGGGTAAAGCTTGATAGGCTAAAGCAAGTGTATATTCTAATTCTGTTCCCTCTTCCCTATTTTTTGGGAAGCATTACTTTCTTTCAGATTATTGTTTTTTTTTTTTCACAGAGTGAATGCTTGCATAGCTGTGTCAATAGAATGAAGGACTCTGCAGCATCTCAGGAAAGATGCTGAGTGTGGCTGAACTCTCTGGTGTGTCATGTAGGACAGCATGGTTGGTGCTGCTATAGTGGGGAGAAGGGTTGGAATGGTATAAACTAGTCATGCTTTCTTAGCCCCAAAAAAAGTTTCTTTTTTTTTTTTTTACCCCAGAATACTTTGATATTCCAACTTATCTCCCTCTTGTTTCCCTGAGAAAGGTATCTGGCCCCATAAAGTACTCTGGAGAAAAGGGAAAAGTGAATAATTTTCTGGTTTTATGACTACTATGCAGTGTTTCAGGTAAATTCAGGGAAATGATGGGCACATAAATTAGTGAAATTTTTCTTAAGGGAAATTACAAGTGGAACAAGTTATCACATTTTTATGGTTCCTACATCCTTAGCCTTTAATGCCAGCTACCTGATTTCACTTTATAATTGTGCAAGTGAGTGCATCTAGGCCAATTAAGTCTTTTCAGTTGCTTTCAAAAGAGTTGCAAATGCCTGCTAGAAGATGGAGATGCCTTATGATTTAACTTTAATCATTTGGGTTGCAATTAAGAGATGCTTTTTCAGGGCCATGATTTACCTGTATAGTAAAAAAGACATATATGTGCTCATACTGTGAGGTATTTTAGTGAATAGCTCAAAGCTATGCATTGCTTTGGATATCTTCAGTACTTTTATTTCTCTTTAAAATTTACTGAAACAAAGATCTGCAAGCACTGCAGAATGGGTTCAGGCCACTCTAGTCCAGTTTTTCTCAAATGCCATCACATCTTCATCCACCTATAAATTCCTTTCTTATTTTTCACAAGATTAGCCTTGGAACCTTCAGGTTTGAGGCTCCCACAAAGTGAAGTGCAACTTAATTCTGGGGTGCACAAATCTTTTAAGATCTAACCACAGTAGGAAAATACTTCCCCTAACTTCAGTATTGGTCTCCACATTCAAATGAACTGAATAGCTGTAGCATTATTGATGGTTTAAAAAAAATTATATTTTTGCTTGAAAGGCTCCTCTTTGCACTTTAAAGGTCTGCTATATGTGGTTTTAATCAATTGTATTTATATTTACCAGCAGTAACAACCCACTATCAGGGTCAGAGATTTACATATAAGGTGAGAGGGACCCTCACTGGGAGTGTGTTAGTGATGAGTGTGGGTTAAAGATTACAGGTACTTCAAATAAAACCTCAGAAATTCTCTTTGAAAATAAACAAAATATCCAGGTAAATGCTTGACTTCTGGAACATTGAGAATATTTTTGTAACACAAGGGACCCAGACAGATTAATTAAAGCTGAAATTTTCTCCTGTGCTTCAACTCCTCTGCTCCCTAGCAAGAGGAATCTAAGCTCATACCTGAATGCAGTAGTAATGCAAAGGCTCCAGGCAACATTGTTAGCTACTCACATCAACGGAATGAAGTTGCACAGCTCCCTTCCACCTGAGAGAAGAGCTGTTTGAGCAGTTCGTGCGTCGCTAACGAGGCACAGATGTCGCCACTGGGCAAACAGGGGCAGGATTGTTGTGTTGTTTGTCATGCAGCTCTTCCCAGGGCACAGCTGAGCACACCTTGGAGAGGTGGCTCTCTCTGGGGGCTCCAAGCGGCGCATTGTTTTTCTTAGCTGGAGACCATCCTCTGCTGCAGCACTGTGAGAACTCCCTAAAAGCCCAGCAGGGATTAAAGACGTGGAGAAGGTGCTGAGCTGTTTTAAACTAGCAGGATTTTGTTGGTCTCATTGGAAGAGAGGGGCTTTGATGAGACGAGGACCTGGGCTGTAAAACAAAGGTACACTGAAAAGGAGAATGATCCAGCCCAGCTCTTCTCCCACCCAAGAATCTGCTTCCTCGTGTGAATGCTGCTCACGCACAAGCTAGAGCGTGTGGATGCCAATCTCCACCCTCCAGTTTATTTGCAGGAGGGTACTTGTGAAGTATTTCAAGACTTCCTTATCCCAAAGACTAAATACACAGGACTGTCTCCATTCCAGCTAGCTTCGGGTGAAGGAAGAGAGATAAAATTTAATTATGGATAGCAGGAGTGTGGCCACAGTGGCAGTGCACAGGGCTCTCGTCATGCCAGTCAGGAGCCAGCACATGTCAGTAGTCTTGTAAGTGGCTACTAAAAGTATTTAAAAAAAAAAAAAAGAAAAGGAAAATTCTGGGCAAATATCTTCCTCCAACAAAATCTTTGAGAGTTCCTGTACTTTTCAAAAGTTACATCTTCCAGAAAGTCATCTATTTGCCACAAAGCGTTAATCTCAACTACCTCTTTCTGTCCAATTACTTCCCACATGTCAGTTTCTCTTCCTGACCTAGAAAACTTATTTACAAGATATACGTGGTTGGCTACAGATCTTCATCTGCAACTTCCCTCTGCTACTTGCCCTGCAAAGCACAGCAATAAAGACACAAGCTTTATCTTCTTCTTTTAATTTTTTTTCTAGAAAGGAAAAGTGAAACAGGCAGTGTGTTCCCGTGTTCTTCTGCACGAGAAGGCAATGGTGCATGTTCTCAGCACAAATCAGTTGTTGCAAGAGTAGGAAGATAGTGTTTATCACAGCTAGCTGCTGAATGTTTAAGGAGTATTATGAGTATCTGTTACATAAATGAAACAAATAACAAAATTAACATAAAAACCCTGAGGGAAAGTGATAAGTTGTTGCTGTCTGTCTTAGATCCAAGAAACACAAGGAATACATTGCGTAAACTTCTACCTCAGAGCTAGTGACTGCTTAAGAGTGCAGTACTGCTTGTTTCTGTCTGGTCCTTCACGTCTCTGTTTTTGTGTTACTGGAGGATTTCTTGTGTTACTGGAGGACAGCTGAATTTTATCCTTGAATTTATCATTATGCATTTGTACAGAAGCTGAAGGTTACAGTGGAAATAGGGATCTCTTTGTATTAAGTTCATTACAAAAGGAAAGGAATAGAAAGTCTTAATTTTCACTGCTGACTTTAACAGACACTGTAGAATGTATGAAACGCATTTGGACATAAGAGTGTTTTGAACCTGAAGTGTGTAGTTTTTTTATGATCTGCCCATTAAGAATATTCTTTGAATACAGGTTCAGTGAGAAGCTCTGCACACACAAGGCCAAGCAAATTGTCATTAACCTGTCCAGAATTATCAAAACAATTTCACGTCAAGCTTAGATCACCTAAGCTTAACTTAGTGTCCATTACCTGGAACATAGCTTAACTCAGTGTCCATTACCTGGAACATGCTTTCTTTGGACAGGCTAAAACTGGATTTTAAAACTCTTTTATTCCAGTTACTGGATGGTTTCTTCCTGGAAGAATGGATGGAACACAAATTGATGGAGTATGGTATTGCTAATTTGTAAGTAACAAAAATACCAACTTTTATAGAACTCACTGAACTTAAAGCTGATTCTATCCATTTAAATTGGTACCTAGTACTTGTCACAGTATGATATAGGTGTGAATATGCTTTGCCAGGATATGTATGCACAGCAGAGAAACATTCACTTAAGTACACACCCACACATCCCCATATGCTTTGAACAGATCTAAATGGTGACTGAAGGATGAAGAGGCTGAGCCACATAAACATTATCCACAATGACTATTAATTTCAAGGCAAAGCAATAATTCATAAAGGTTGTTAGGAAGCAATGTAAATGCAAATGCCCTTCTAATAAGTGCTGGCAATATTATGTTGGAACGTGTTTGTGATTCACCACAGTGTGTTAAGCAGGGAGGAGCGTGGATGATTTCTGTGGAAGATGGTGACAAGAGTAAAGAGGTGAAAACTGACAGGAATGTGGCGTTTGGGGACTCAGTCCAAGGAACAGCTCTAGCATGGGCTGACTAAGCAGTGCAGTAAGTGCTTGGTGCTGGAGTGAAGATGGGCAATATCTGGAATAATTAATCAATAATTCATTATGGAAAAATGCTACCAGCTGTAAAATTAATTTGTAGAATAATGCCCTCCAGTAATGCCATAAGTTATAAATATATTCATATTTTTTAAACAGTACAAGCAGAAGACAAATGCTTCAAAAACATATAACGTATAACGTATAACATATAACGTATAACGTATAACATATAACATATAACATATAACTTAACATCTGACTTTAGAAAAATGAAAAAGTTTCTGATGGCAGCCAGTGAAAATTAGGCAATTAGTATAGAACCCTAGTACTGAAAACAGAGCACTGAGAGAAAAAGGTCTTAATAACAATGTTAACAACATTTTTTTTCTCATATAAATATTTTATACCCTGGTGCAGGAATAAAGTTCCTGTGTTTTTCATTTTCGTAGCAGAGCTTTACATGTTTTATTTATCATTCTGCATGATCTATTAGGTAACTTTATCATCGAGTGTTTTATGAAAAGCAGTATTGCTGGGTAATAATGATCATCTGGCTATCTATTGTTAATATGTATGAATGAAATTATTTTAAAGACTTGACCAGCTTTGAATAAATAGTAATCCCATCTATATTTGACTTTCAGACAATTTCTATTTTTGATACTTTCGCACAATCATGTAATATTTGGGTTGTAGAAGCTTCAAAAGAATATTTTAAATAATGCAATTATAGTTATTTCAGAAAAAGTAAGCTTGTGCTTTCTCTTAGGAAATATATTGGCCTAGTGTAAAATAATGAAATGTAAGTTTGGGTTTTAATTTGTTCAGTAATTTAAATTTCAAAGGCAATGAGTAAGAAGGAAATATTTTTTCCTTTTTTGAGATGTTGTTTACTGAAATACATTATTTGAAATATATGTGACACCAAATATATAGATCATGAAGCTGTTATGATATACATTCAGCAGCTGAAATGGTTCCTATGTACATCCTGCCTATGTTAGTTGATGGATGACTATTTGGAAAGGAACGGAGTGCATTTTTTAACCTATACATTATTCAGAAAGTGTCATCTATCTAAAACAACACTGGCTTTAGTCTCTGATACTTTTGCCACTGTGTAGCAGGTGCAATTTGAGACTCACACAGAGCACCTCTCCATGCTGGCAGCCTGTCGCAGAGCACACCAGGACTGAAGCACTGGCTTACTGCTGTGTGCTTTGCACCGTCCCATGGAACCGACCTCTTCCACCCCACATCCTCACGTGCAAAAGATGCAATCTCACTGCTTCTCTCTGTGCTTCATTTTCTGTTTAAATAAACAACTCGAAATGCTGCTGCTACTGTTACTAGAAACAGCACTTTGCTGTGCTTCTTTATATCTCAGAACACCTAAGAAGGTTAGCTGCCAGTTTTGTGTCTCTTTTCACAGAAGGAGAAGCTGGGGCAGATGTTGACATGAGATCTGGAGCACACCTTCCCAGCAGGGGTACCAGGACAGAAGACCTCCCATCACCACTTTTACTCTGAGCGATGAGGAGCAGACCTGTACCATGGTCACAAGCACAGAGGAGGTTTGTGTAGATGTTCCAGAGCTTCAGAAACACACGCTTGACCTTCGAGAGTTGCTGCTGATTTGTTCAGTGCTCACACAGTGCGCAGCACAGGCCTCCTGGGTGCTGCTGCAGTACAGCCACCTTTCCTTTTGTTTGGGCACCTTTATCAGCACAGCTAAAGGGAACACTGTGTGGACTGTGAATTCCTCTCCAAGATCATGTAAATACTTGGACAGTTTCTCTGCTGTTTCTCTGGTATTAATCTAACTAATTAAAGCTGGTTTGCATACATCTGCAGCTACAGCAGTAGTTTAATGATAAATATTCCCAAATGTAGCTATGCAAATAGTCACAAATTCTGAATAAATATGTGAAATGCATTATGGTAGTCAAAAATTCTTCAGTTTTTCCTTCAAGAAAAAAACAAAGAATGATTTTCCTTTATGGTACAGGCCAGGTTCTCTTCTGTAACCTTCAGAATTTCATATGAGTAAAGGATCATAAAACCTGCAGTAAACATTCAAGGATTATTTTACTATGGTCTGTGTTAGCTTTCTGTCTATCAGAGGTGCAGAGTGGTTGTTCCATATTATGCCCATACATAAGTGATTACTGTATGACAAATATCCACAATGACAGAGGATGTTATGTAAAAAATTAACAGACAAAACCACCCAAACAAACAGACAAACAAACATGCAAACAAGCAAACTCACGTGCCCTTCATCATAATGCAAAAGGTACTAAAAACTGGAATTGCGAGTGGTAGTAATCCCAGCCATGCATAAATCCCAAAAGGTGACAGTCATTCTTGGAAATGGTGCCACCCTAAAGAGGGAGCATAGAGGCTAATCTTATTTGAAGGATAAGATCATCTCCCCTTGGTAGTGGTCTTACTTGTACATAAAATAATTAATCTTTGACTTAAAACCCAACAAAATTGGCTTCTGCCCAGTCCAGAGGGGATGGCTGCTGTTGTCAAGGGCAGCTCTGGAGGGTTTCACCAGGCCAATACCTCTGTTCCCCTATAACTCTCTACCTCCATGAATAGTTATGGAAGTATCTTTTTATGGTTGCCAAGAAGATGCCAGGAGAGATCTGGGAAGGAGAGGGGCAATCCTGAGGGCTGGAGTTTAACTGCATGAATCTGCTGCAGCTGCCATGCCATCTCCAGGAGGTAGATGGAAACGAGTACCTACCCAAAAAATGGGAGAAAGGAGCATCCCTGGGCTTATAACCATATAGACTGTACATAACTTGCTCAACTCCCTCAAAGTGGCAATGTTTTATTTTTTACCAAGACAGACTCGTGCATCCCAAGCAAACCAAGCATTTAACTGTGGGTGACTAACTACAGGTGTAATGAATTGAAATCCATGTGGCTAAGCCAAGTGCAAGCTTTTAGAAGTGTATCTTCTTAAAAATGATGTTTAGCAAATGAACAAAATGCTCCCAGAACTGCTGAATTTGTTTCCTTAGCATTTTAGCTGTTTGACCTGACCATTTCAAATTACCTCTTGAAAGAAATGGACATATTCAGGAGAGGAGATACCCTGTATTTCTAATGCAAAATGCTTCTAGAAAATGACATAGCTATTACTTATAGCTATCCAAAAAGATATTATGCTGAGTTGTCATATTTTGTGTTGCAGGCTTTTCATACTGTTGAAATATCAACATCATATGTACTGTGTGTGTACAGTTAACTCTTGGTCTCCTGGTGCAAGATGAGTAGGAAACCTGTGTAATGTATTAACATGACCAGAAAAACACCCCCTCAAAAAAAATCACTCCATTGTAAATTAGGGTAAGACTAGATAACACCTGAAGAGTATTATCTAACCTGAAGAGTAACCAATAAGCAAAATGAATGGCATGTCCTGGTATACATGTGTATTTTAAATCATAGTGATTTTTTGTTGAAGCTGGAAAACAGGAAGAGAGTGAGAGTAAGAGAAAATGTAAGTTGCAAAAACATTTGATACCATAAATTATGGTTTGTTGAATACTTGTAGTGAAAAATGGGGGTTTCTGGAGATAATTGCATGTTTTCTCAAGTAATAACTGTCCTTACTCTGAATCTTGATGATTATTTACTGATTTATTGTTGGGATGTTTTTTTTTTCTATTCAGAAATAACTAGACTGATTTCAGCAAGAGAAAAAGCCCAGCATAAAGGACATGCTAGTATCTGCCATGGAGGATATGAATAATCAGAAATATTTGCATTATACAAATATGTTGCTTACAGATACAAAAAAAGGTGTTAACACAACACATCCTTAAATATTATCGAGATATTGTTGAGTATATTTGTACATAGTTCTGTATGTACAATTCTCTTCATTCATTCCCATTTATAACATTTCACGTAGCCTTTGACACAGATCTATAACCATTGAGATTTGTGACACTGATCAGAATACAGTGAGAGCCCTGAAATCCCATTCTCCGACATGAAACATCCCTATGAATCACAGGTATTGTGCTACCAGACAGCACAGCAAAAAATTAACCAGAGCAAAACACTCGACTTGGTGCTGTTACAGCTAATAGGTCTGAAATGAAAGATAATTGCATATTAAAATAGAGTGGGTAGCTCTGTTTTGATGTAGAGATATAAAGATGTCAGGCAAGCTAGGCTGCAGCAGCAGGGAATGGGTGCCCTGAAGTGATTGAGGACTGAAGCCCAAGAGAGCATTCCTCACATTCCTGTGGCACTCCTCCTATACATATGCCCCCAAAAAAGGGAATTCCAGCACTCTGAATTGGTAAACTGAGCTTCAGAAAAGCTGGCACTTTTCTATAGCTGCAGGCTTGATTCATTTGAAGGAATTATTATCATCTCTGGATGATGAACACGAGGCATATTTAAACTGTTATTTTTTAGGGCAAAGGGCATGACATTTCCAATATGTTACTAAAAAAAAAAAAAAAAAAGAAAAAAATTAAAAATCCCCCATAAGGACTTCTAGTAAGCACCAATAAACAAGATGTAGAGAATGTGGAGCACTCCCTAGTATTTTCCCATGATATGCCCAGAATAATTGGTATTACTGCAAAAATATTTTGCTGACACATCTGAGTGGGATTAGCCCAAAGAGCTATCCTTGTTAATGAGCCATATCTAGAAATTGAGTAGGTTTAGTAGATTACTGTCTGAAGACACAGCATTTTTGAGAACCACTTATGTCTAAAAGTGTAACATATTTTCTCCTGGGACTAGCAGTGTACGTTTTGTAAGGAAAAGATGGTTATCCCTGGGAAATTTCACAAATGAAAAAATCAAATAAAGATGACACTACCTTACTTGGAATTGAAATGTGACTTCTAGTGACTAGGAATTAAACAGATTTATTAGTGTTGACATTATTTACATTGCGTGATCCGTATCAGCGAAGGGTACACATCACTTGTGAAAGCAAATACATTAATAGTATTACCCTGCCGCTAATGGCACGCTAATAATACTCGCATGCTCCGCGTTTGTCAGGCTGCTGCTGAGACGTGCTCGGTGTCGTGGTAAACAAAGAAAATCAGCCATGTTGCGAGACCCTTTATTCTTAAAAAACTTAAGTTCACGTGAGGAGCACCCGCCGCTAGATAACCCCAGAACAGCGATAAATCAACGATTTCACACCCCTCCCTTCCTCGTTTTTACCCCATAGCAATGACAGAGGGGACAGCCGGCTGATACGGATTACTTTGGAGAAGCGTGACAACAGGTGGCCTCCCCGAACTCACTAGACTGGGCAGATCAAGTCTTTATTTTATTTATTTATTTTTTTGGCGTCCAGCTTGCCCATCAGCGGTATCGGTGACCAGGGGGGAGCTGGGATGATGCGCGTCCCTCGGGACCATGGCGGCGGCCGCTCGGACTTCTTTTTGGTGGTTAAGCCGGGCCAAGGCCGCGCTCCCGGGGGAGGACGCTGGGGCACCGCCGCCGGAGGGGACCCCTCAGCCGCGACCCCCGGTGACCCGCCCCGCTCCCTCCTTCCTTCCCTCCCTCCTCCGTCCCGCCTCGGCCCGCCCCCCGCCGCTCCGCCTCCCCGAGCCGGCAACTTCCCCGTCGCCGAGGCGGGCGCGGAGCCCCCCATCAGCCCGGATGGGAGGAGGAGGAAGAGGAGGGAGGAGGCGACGCCGACGCTGCTGCCCGAGGGGATGCGGCGGAGCGGGCCGGCGGGAGGCGTAGAGCCGGCTCGAGAGGGAGCGCCGAGCCCTTGTCGCCGCCGCCGCTGCCACCGGCGGGGCTCGGCCGCCGCCTGCAGCCGCTCCGGGAGGCGGCGCTGCTGAGCCCGCGCTGCCTGCGCGCCGCCGCCGCCTCGCCGCTCGCCCCGCGCTCCGGCCGCGCAGCGCCAGGCCGCGGCCGCCCTCCCCTGCGCCTCCCGGGCGGCGGCGGGAGGCAGCCGGGAGCGATGGCGTCCTACGTGGATAACAGCTTCCGCCAGGCGGTGATGAAGAACCCGGCGGAGCGGAGCCCCCAGGTGAGCGCCCCTCGTCCCGGACGCCGCTGCCCCCGGCCGGGCAGCCCCGAGCCCCGCGGGCAGCGCTGAGCCCCGCCAGCCCAGCCGAACTCCCGGCGCTGAGTGCCCGGCCGGCGGCTCCCGGGAAGGGAGGGCGCGCATTAACGCGACAACTTTCCTCCCGCTCCCTGATTTTGGGGGAAGGAGAGGGAGAAACGCCAGCTGGGTTTGTTTTGGAGGTTGCTTCCGGTAAAAAGAAAATGAACTTAGAGTATAATTTTTTTGGTGGTGTGTTTTTTCTTTTTTTCTCTTTCTTTCTTTTTTTTTTTTTTTTTTTTTTTTTTTTTTTTTTTTTTTTTTTTTTTTTCTCCCTCTGTGTGCGAGTGTGTTTTGTTATTGCCCCGGAGTACGGGTGGCTCAGGATTTGAATTCAATCCGTACTTTTACATAGCTGGCTGGAGCTGGCAGCGCTGTTTCATAATGTAGGGGCTGAGGTCAGTGGTATTCTTGGCAAGTCCTTGCTCTCCAAAGTAGGGTGAAATCCTTACACAATGGCACCAGGCAGGAATTTTTTAGATACCTGCGCCGTGCTCCTGGAGCCCTCTTTATCAGAGAAGTGTGTGAGTCGAAGCCGTTGGTAAGCGCAGTTGCGCTCAGAGAGGCTGAGAAAGGTTAAGCTGGGGACTGGAGTGCGTACAGAAACATTTTGACTTAACATGACCTGAAAAACAACCAAACTGAATGAGTTCCTTCTGCTCCCGAGCGGTTGCTGCAGTGGCTGTTGCTGCCAACTGTCTAAAGACTAATAAGCTTTACACTGATCCCCACATCAAGCCGCGGTTCAATAGCTAATGATACAAGGAGTTACTTTGCTTGGAGTTGTAATGCCATCTGTCCTATTTTCTAAAGGCTTGTCCTGCTCTCTGAGCAGTCCCTGTATTCGGGTTTTGGGGAAGAGATGCTGTTACTGATTGTTTTGGCAGGCGTCTGACTGGCTGGTGATGATTTTAAATTGGGGCAAAGAGGAAACCTTGACTTTTGCTCAGCGCCCATAAGTCATTCCTCCTACTATAGATACGTCATTGTGGTAATGTTATTTTTATCCCCATGTTCATGGAATATGTGTCAGAAAATAAAACTTCTCATGGAAAAACATACTGGCTGCATAGGCATCGTATGTGGCATGCTTTTTTGGCAACTGTATTTTTTTTTCTTTTATATAAAAAAGGAAGCTGCTTCTGGAACATATTTTTGTGGTGCTAAACTTGTTTCTCTGTCCTTGTTTGACCTTTTCCAAATGTCTGTTTGCCTTCAGTGCTGGACCCAGCCCTTCAGTGTGTTGTGAAAGCTGAAGGAGGCTGAGTGCTCTGTCCTGGAGAAGACACTCTCTGCAAACTTGCAGCGAGGTCACTTGGATTGGCAGAGGCACAGATTTCAGCTGGGGGGTGCCTGCCAGCCATGTCCAGCCTTGGGACGTGGTTATGGAAGCCTGGTGGGGTGCTCAGCAGGAGAGATGCAGGCAGATGCTCAGGAAGCACTTGGTCAGGCTGTGGGGCCACCAGGCTGGGCTTGGGGCACGATGCATTCCCTGTGGTATGGGCTGTGCCATGTGAACTGCTAAACTTTCCCTTGTCCTTGCCAGTTGGCCTTGCTGTCTAGAAGGGATAATAGGGAAGCACAGAAAGGCAGAAAGTAAGAAATGACGCAGTGAAGAATCCAGCCTGAGTGCAGGGATAAAGCCCAGTGAAGGGCACGGAGCGGAGAGCTAAATTGGGAACACCAGGGCTGCATTAGTGCTGTGAAACTTCCCGAATCAGCACGCTGGCAGCCTGCTGTGGCAATCACCACAGGAAAAGAAACCCACCCTTAAATCTATGAAATTGACACTGGCCCAAAATAACCCACAAACAAGACCAAGTATGTGGGAAATCTAATGTGTTCTTAGCACTGGAAATACTTGAAACTGGTGGTGCTCTCCTGTTGCTGCTGGGGAGACTGGGCTTGCAGCAGAAAACTTGGTTGGTGTTTTTGCAAGTGGTCCATGTTGAATTGTGTGTGTTAGTTTTCTGCTGTTGGTTCTCTGTTTGATTTTATTTTACAACAGTATTGGAATTTGAAAGAAATGTGCTTATGCACATCATCTTTCATCATTACGTAAAAAGGAAAAAAAATACATAGAGAGGTACAAAGACCTTGTTTTTCCTTCTTCCCTTAAAGTAACTTATTGTTTCTTTACTTGTATTTTCCTGTCCTTGCTATGCTATCTCTAAAAGATAGCTACTTAATTTTGACTTTTGGGAAGTCATGAGGCTTTTTTAAAGTCAAGGGAGGGTTGAAAAGAGAAAATATATTTATCATATTTGTATCAGTGCAGGAAATAGCAAGAGAAGTATGTTAGTAGCATATTTGCTTCTTACTTATGTTAACAAATTCTTTGGGGCTCAGCTTCTCCCAAACCATGATGAGGTAAATATCTGTTTGACGTTACTATTCACCCTGGACTGTCAGGGTGCAAATTTGGCACCATGCCTTCACTGCAGGCTCAGAGGACAGGAGTGACAGAATGATAGCCAGTATGTACAACTTGCAGAAGTAGGTCTGATAAACATTGTTGGGAAAGGCAAACTTGACTTGGCTTGAACTTTTGTAGTGCAGAAATATCTTGGTAATTTTGGATTGAACTGATTTTTTTTTTCTTTGAGCTAAACAATATATTCTGCAATTGCTTTTGTAAATTTATAACTTTATATCTCTTTGGTATATCCTCCTTTACACAATGTTTCTGAATCACAACTCAATATTGTGTTGGCTAAAGAAAGTGAAAAATAAAAGAAAAGGAGATATATATGTGGCCTGTACTTTAGCATGCCTGTTCTGTAACTCTTCTCTTTAATTGATGTATTAAACTATTCATTTTCTCTTTGAAGACGTGAACTAGGAAGTTAATTTAACTACTTTGGGGAATCTAACTTTTAAATGTTCATAAATTACAAATGGTTTTATGCCCTTGAGCTGTGAGTAATCGAGATCTGTTTTTTTTCTCTCCTAATGTACTCTTGCATGGACTGTTACAGCTTTAAGTCTTTACAAAACAAATTCTTTATGGCATCATAGGCCATTTCAGAAAGCATGCAGTTTTACACTGGTGTAGCTTGCTTGAAAAAATAGGGCTGCTTTTGTTTTCAAACAAGAGAAGCTGAACCCTAATCTTTCTTTATCCTGACAACTCATTTGCATGGCATGGTATGTGAATAGCTGGTTGCTTCAGAAACTCTGCATACTGTTCACTGTTTTCATGCCATGTGGTGACGTCTGCAGGAAGAAATTTTTTGAATGCGTGCCTTATATATGTTAGATGCCTAAGGTTTGCTTCTGGAAGCTGCTGGTGTGGTACATGAAGGCAGTTCAGCGCAGCAGTGACGAGGAGCAGAGATGTGACAGCATCGCACCAGCTCTTCAGGGCGGAGGGGAGAACTGGACAGTGGCCCTCAGTTTGATACTAATGAGTCATTTAATGTCAGAAGACATCTAAACAGGATGCTCTTGTAGAGCAGATATTCCCTTCTTGAACACTTGAGAGGAAAAAATGGTTTAATTATAGGATGTACCTATGCTTTTTCCAAATAAACTTTCAGCTTGTTCCCCAATTGTGTTATTTTTATATTTGTAACCAGTGATAGCATGATTGTGTGCAATCTTCAGATAAGCCAGAAATGAACACTTCCTTCTTGCTACAGTGATCTCTTAAAAAAAATACAAGGCTGTGTATTTTAATGGGATCAGAGGAACTAAGCGTTTTATATGTGAGTCTAGCAAAAGAA